CCGGGAGCAGGACCAAGGAGTGGCATGGGATGCTCTGTCTTTGAGCCCAGAGAGGGCCATGTCCACCCGGCAGCCTAGAAGACACGGCAGCTCCCCAGGTCCCTGGCGAGGCAGATGGTGGCTTTAATTTTATCCAGATTGTCCCCATAAAGGTTTTACAGGGAATTGGTTGATTGGATTAAGGAGCAGGAACCCCTAATGAGCAGCGGCTGCTAAACAAATTACTGAAGCAGAGACAATTTCCCTTTGCCACCATCCCCTTGGATCACATCATTATACAGAGACCCTAGAATGCCAACGACACCTCAGAATGGCACCAATTGGGTTCTCCTTCTTTGAATATCCTTTAGGTTCCAGACTCCCAGAAAGGGAGAAGAGAGCAAGCTAGAATAAGAGCATAGGTCAGGGCCCTCCCTGGTGGCACAACAGGTTAAGGCTGGCTGTCGCCAGCCAGCCAACAAGAGTAGGATCCCCAGCCAGGGAGCTGACCCCCAAGGCACAGCAGACCTCTCCTGTCTCACCTGCTGTTCCCCTCATCAATGTGTTTCAGTAGATCTGCCTATTCTGCTCCGCACTCTGTCTCTAGTGTATCTTCTCACCCCCCACAGCTCTGGTCTGTACCCCAGTTCTTGCATGCATAAATAAATAAATATTAAAAAAAAAAAAGCATAGAGGCCTCCCTGGTGGCGAAGCGGGTTAAAGCATAGCACTAAGGAGCTAAAGCCGCTTCCGCATGAGTTCGATCCCCGCCTGCCCGGGAGGTGACCACATGGCGCGGCAGACCTCTCCTGACTTGCCCACTGCTCCCTTCAGCAGTGTACTTCATCAATCTGCCTGCTCTGCTCCCTACTCTGTCTCTAGCGAATCCTCTCACAGCCCCTGCACCTCTGGCCTGTACCCCAGTTCTGTATGCACAAATGAATAAATTAAAAAAAAAAAAAGATAGGTCAGGGGGTAAAACAAAATGTCTTTTGTGGCCTAGGGGTTGAGTCTCAGCACTGGCACCATTAAGGCCCAAGTTGACCCCCCCTTAGGGAGCTGACCCACATGAGGGAGCTGACACATGGCACAGCAGACCTCCTCTGTCTCATCCGCTATTCTCCTCAGCAGTGATACTTCCATATATCTGCCTGTTCTTCTCCCTACTCTGTGTCTGGTGAATCTTCTCTCTGCCCTTCCAACCTCTGCCTTGCCCCCCAATTTGCCTGCACAAAAGTAAAAAAATATATAGATGCTAGGTATAATCTGCCAATAAATAAATTTTAAAAAAGATCTTTTGTTGGTTCAAATTACTGTCACTTGGAGCATGCCTCTCCCTCCCAGAAGCTCAGAGGAGACCCAGTCTCACAGGGTTCTTGTGAGGACTAAGTGAAGATAAAACGCATTTAGTAGGGTGCCTGTGCATAGCGAGAGCCTAATAATAAGTGGTATCCCAGGTCCTGCCCTGGGAACAAGACACAAGCTCCAGCTGCCTACCTTCCAACTATAGGGCATTTTAGCAGTGGCTCTAATCACCCCCTAGGAAATGCTCCTGACTTCCAAATTCCTGCAGTGGAGTGTGTGACTAATGTGACCAAGGAAGTTTTAAATGCCTCGCCAGAGCTAATACTCGGTTTGGAGCCTAACCCAAAAGGGCAAATTGAGGGTGAGCACCCTCACATGGGTGGAAGGGGAGGGGTTCAAAGGGAGTTTCCCAAGCCCCGTATCAGATCTGTGGTGATCCAGGCCCGGCCGGCACCATTAAGAGCACAGGCTTGGGGTCGGGCGAGGACCCCGCTCAGCCTATTCCGGCGAGTTCCGTGCAGTTTACTTTCGCTTCTGAGCCTCAGTCCCCCCCCCCTCGACTGTAGAGGGGGGATAATAACGGCTCTGTGGCACGGCTGGAGAGAGGCTGGGAGGTGGCGGACGGTGAGCCCCCCGCCCCCGGGCCGGCATTCCGCGGCGGCCGCCGGGGCGCACCCCTGTCGCCGGCCCGGGAGGAGCAGCCGCCCTCCACGCCTTCGCGGGCGGATTCCCCCGCGGCCTCCCGCGCCGCGCGGCGGGGACCCGGGTGATTGCAAACAGCCGCCGGCCTCATTAGGAGACGTGTAATTAGCGGCTGGCGGAGCGGGAGCCGGCACCGACTAATTACCGCGGGGAGCGGGCTGCGCCGCCGACGCCACACGCCCCGGCGCGCCCGGCTACCGCGACCGTCTGGGCCAG